GATAGATCATATTCTACCAACGGTATGTATTCCACCAGGCACCAAGAGGTATTATTTTTACTGAAATAAATTCATCTTCTCTAAATGCAAGAATTATGGTACTCCAAGCATATATTATCGTCTCTTTTAGCCCTGAAAGCGTCGAAAGTTATACTCATGGACGGAGCTATGCCTTGTCCTAGGAGGCCACTGCCCCACTATTCTTTTATTATTAAAAAATATATGGGTAAATATTAGATTATGGTTCCAAATTTTAATTTATTTTAATTTTGACCCTAATTTTATATGGTTAATTATACTTTACCCCTCATTTTCTATGATCAATTATACTTTACCCCCTTTCAATTGAAATCCTGACTCCGTCCTTGATTATTTTCTTGCAACCCACCCACCGGACGTTGCAGAAAAAAAGGGTCGACCCTAAAAAAATTATCTTGGTGTCCCACGTATAATCTTGACCCTTTACCATTAGTTTGTCACCTATGTCCTTGTTCTTGGACTTGCATGAACAAATTTGACTTGTTAGGTGACAAATTAGATAAAAGTACGTTTGTGATATGAATATGATAGTTAAAGAACCACACACTCTCATCAAATGGAAGATGCACAAGGGAAAATACTAGCAGCAATGAGAGGACAACGCTTTTGAGGTTACCCATGCTGCGTGACATATCTAATAAGTTTTCCGATTGGTATTTATATTTTTTATTTTGAATCTTAGATGGTTATTTTTAAATTGAGAAAGTAATAAATTTTGAGTTTGAATTAGTTAATATCAAAATCAAGAATTTCGAACTAAAATGAACTGAAAACACTAATAGGAAAACAATTATCGCCTTTACCTTGATCAAGAAGGATCGGTCCCGATAAAAAAAAAGCATTGAAATCTTTAGGGATTTTATATATACTATAATTCTTGAAAGGCAAGTAATTCCAAGAAAGGATGTAGTGGTATTACTATTGGTGAAATAAAAGCCAAAAGCTAAGTATGGTGATTAATGTGAAGTTAGAAAGTTGCCTCCTTAAAAGAAATAAATAATGGTAGTTGGAATGAATTATGAATGTTTGAAGGCTTCACCTTGTCATAATTTTGAGTTTATTCACATCTTCATTCCCATTGGTTGGGGACTCCTATCAATCCACTCAAAGTTCAAAATATTTGATAACAAACAATAATTTTAATGGAACTACAATTTTTAAATCTTCTCACTTTTATAATTTACTTATAAATACATTTCTAACAATGTAATTGAAATCTAAAATGATGAATCTTTTGCGAACTGGCTCTGTTGGGGTACATTGGCAGTTTTCTGTGCAAGAACAAGAAAGATTGTTTGATTCTTTCCAAGAATCGACCCAAATCTGATACCAATTGATAGGAAAGCAGTGACAGGTTAATCAACATTGCTCTTGTTAAATAATCAAACTTAGAAAGCTTTAGACTCGATGAAAAACAAAGGGGATGAATAGGGGAAGGTGACGGCAACAACTAGGGTCTTTTAGAGTTTATTTTCAGTGTTGAAAACAATGTAAGAAACAAGATTAAACAAGATAAACAAAAGATAAAGAAATTGAAAATAAAATATGATAACCAAAAAATCAAAAGATTTCCCTTATAAAAGTGGACGATAAAGATGATGATGGTGAAGATGGATTTGTGAAAAATAGATGGATAAGTGTCATATCGAACCCTCCTAGTCGCAATAAAAATGCAAACTTGATAATATGGCTCTAATCAACCCTCCTAGTCACGATGAAAATGTAAATTGGAGTGTGAAGATTAATCTCCCTCACAAGAACTTGTAATAACTCTAGGAGAAAAAGCTTCGAAGGCACAAGACAATCAACACTTGCAAAAACAAACTCTCCTTGTACTATTAATCAAAGAAATTTGTTTTACAAAGTTGAATGAAGTCTCATTTATATATATGTGAAGAGTTCTAAAGGTCCTAAATAACTAATGAATAAAACAATAACAAACTAAACATATTTTAACTCTAACTCCTAATAAAATAATAATAAACTAAGAATAATGTTTTGACTCAACCTTAATTCCTAATAAAATATTAAATCTAATACTAAAAGATAATGAATCACCTTATGTTAAATTATATTACAAACAATCAATAAAAATATTAAAAATTTGTAATATTTACAAAATATCATATTAATCCCGTATAGGATTTTCTGCATACATTGTCTTCACTAAAATGGTCATATATTTAGTTCCCAATATCGGATTGATGCAATTCAAGAACCGTTGGAAAGATAAGAGACATTCAGTCATATCTCTAGAAGACATGTGGACCAAATAATATCAGTATCATATTCAAAAAGTCGTCGCAAGTATGATGTTGTTCTAGTATTCTTTTCCAAAGCTTAGACGAGTGGATCTTTTGGAAGAGTTATTACTTCTTCCTTTGATGTGACCCTTGTGATACATATATCAAAATACGTCCATATATCACCAACAATCAAATAAATAACCAATAATTAAGTGTCAAACATTGTATCGAAATCATCTAAAGCCTATGTTCTTCGAATTTGAATATAAGTGTAAAATATGACTACATGTCCATCATGGACATGGTCACTTTTTTAGGAATTTCCAACGCACAAGGAAAATCTTTAAAGAATTGTGTCCAGTATATGCATGAATATCGACCGCAAATACTTCAAGAAATAAAATGAAGACTCAAAAGTAATACAATCTAAAGCTACGAGAACAAGGCATGGCATCATATACCTACTCCTTTGGACATGTTTCTGAGATCCCTATTAAACAAAGTACTAGTATGTGTCTACTGTTTAGCCTGAGAATGCTTTTTAAAAAAAATGAACATACACATGGAAGATCCTCCTTAAAGAATCCTAACCATAAAGAAACATGAACGTGGAACACAATTGCATTTAGAAATAAAATGAAGAGTCAAAAGCAAGATAAACACATATATAAACCGAGAGCATGGCATCATCTACCTAACATGTTGAACATGTTGCATACATAAACAATGTACTAAATAGTCTTTTTTTCTCTCTTTATAATTTTTTTCTGGCATCCATGGAAAAGATAAATGATTCATCCATGAACTACAAATAACAAAATTAACGCAAAGTTAAATCACTTAACCACTAATGGACACATTATTCCAAGCTATCAACAATCCATGTTACTTGAACTAATTCAAGGATGAGTATCAGATGCAAATATATGTGTCCAGTACATGCATACAATTATGTGTTAGACATAATTGCAAGTCACGGGTACTTGAGAAAAATTTAACAGTCTGGGTGGTATCAAAGAATGTAATTTGTTCTTCAACTCGTATAAATATTAAATACCCTAACAACAAATACTTCAAAGAAAATCCCTACATAGAAATAAAGCCACCAGTACTCTTAAAAATGCAACTAAAAAGTTTAGATTAAAATTAAAGGAAACATACAAATTCAACATGATAAACATTCACAAGTGAAGTTTTCTCTCCAATACTCCGACAAAGCAACATAAGTTTAGTGTTTACACAATCATATGAAATGAAGAAAACCTGCATTTTGATATCTTTAGAAGACTCAGCTTCATAAATGACTAAACTAGTCCTAGTTAATCTCTTAGGCGTTATTGCCGGCTAAATATCATCTATTATTCCAGCAAAATAGACCATAGAAAGCACTCGGAAGTAGAAATATGTCGTACCAAATCAAAAGCACTCCTACTACTGCTGATTCTGGTACTGGTTTTGGAGGAGGCATTCTAGGGCATGGTGGAGGTGGAGCAGGCATTCCAGGCCTCGGAGGTCATCATTGGTCTACCCATCAGCCTCTGACCAAATTGTGGAGGTGGGACTTGGTATTACTGAGGTGGCCTAACTCCAAAAGCTGGTGCGGTACCGATGGTTGCAAGCCGCGTTCATCGGAGGTGCTTGAGGTTGACCAGGGTAAGCTCCAGGTGGCATTTGCCCAGGCGGACCTCCACCAGGAGCAGGGTAAGACATATGCGGAAAAGAGAGTTGCGGAACCGGCGGACGAGAAATCTGAGGCTGCATCATACCAGGAGCAGGACCGCCAACGCCGCGAACGATCCCAGCAAGACCGGCTGCGCTTGAACGAGAGGACCAGTATGGATCCCACGTCCAACAGCACAACCAATACCAGGGCCAGGGACTGCATTAGCGGCGCCGGACTTGGAACGAGACTCTTCGGGAGGAGGTGGACCTTCGACGGTCATCGAAATAACCTCTTCACCACGTAGAAGAACAAGGCCAAGCGTTCAACGATCTTCTCGTTCCTTGTTGGTGCTGGGGTTTTTCTTTCCTTTAGCAGGAGGAAGCTTACGGAACTCCTCGCAGTCGCCTAGAACGAGATTCATGTGCCGATCGAAAGCCATGAATTTGCTCATCAGCTGTCGGCCGTCTTGGATGGTGACCCGCATCCTGTAGTTGATGAATTGAAGCATTTTGGAACTCTTTGACATCGACATTTTGGTGACTCACAGTGCCTAACGGTGAGACTGAGGAAGAGAGAAAATAACCCTAGCTAGGGTTTTGAATTTTAATTTCTCAAGCGGGTTTCAAGAGTGAGGAACGGGAAGTGGAGGGAGAATTTACTATATAGCCCATTAAGATGGATAGATTAGGCCCAAAAGCCTTGGTTGGGTTTAAAGAGAATCCAATAATTTCGAGTATATTTTATTTTTATTTATAATGAAATTAGATATTTGAATTCAAATTTATTATATCAATTTTTTATACATTACATGTACCAATAATATTATTTGAATTTAGAGACGATATGCAATTGTGAATTTAGAATATAAAACGTAAAACGGATATGTAGTATATTCGAACATTAAAATAAGTGTATTTATAAATTTTTGAATTGATAAAAAGGACAAATATTAATGCATAGAACGGAATGACTTTGCTGCCCTGTATAACTAATCTCTATGCCCAAAACATAGAAGAAAACACAGCTGAAATGAGAGGTGCTTGAGGTCTGCCTTTCTTCGAGCAAAACCATCATCTACGATGAATCGTATCCCCTATGATGAGCCTTCTGCCATTTCCATGCAATCTGTAAACTCTCCTCTAGATTGGTATATCGAGCAGTCCAGTTCAGTTCTTGCCTGATCTTAGACGGATTGCTGAACACTTCCGCGTAATCTCCGGGTCGACGGGGAAGATACTCGACTTTTATATCCACCCCCGTGGCTTTCTTACATGCCTCTACAAACTCCTTCACCGATCTTCCTGTCCCCGTGCCGACATTGTAGATCCCTACGATACGAGGCTTTGCATGTTGGAGAGCTTTGACGTGAGCGTCAACCAGGTCGGTAACGTCGATGTAGTCACGTATGCAAGTTCCATCATCCGTTTTGTAGTCAGTTCCCTTCACCTGCACAAATAAGCACCAAGGTTTCATCAAAATCATTAGAAAGCAACTAAGCAGGCACTTAAGATGATGAGTAAAGTGAAACGAATAGCTTACCTTGATACCAGGAATGATACCACGAGCAGCATCAAAGCAAGCCCCCGAAATTCGTCCTTGGTCACGCAACTCGGGTCTTGGAGCCTCGCCTAATCTTCCTTCCGGATCCGATCCGATCACGTTGAAGTATCTGAAAGTGGTGAACATGAGCATATTGTTGGAATATCACAATCTGCTATGCCTGTATTCTCAAAACACTTGGAAAGATGAGAAAAATACTAACCTTAGAATCATAATCGCCATGCCTGAACTCTTGGAGAAATCCAGAATCATATCCTCTGCCATCTTCTTAGCTTTTCCATATGGATTGATCGGAACCTGAGTTGGTTCAAAACAAATATCAGTTTGCCGTATATTACAACCGTTAATCTCGAATATAACTCAGCATTAGGCATGTTTACAACTTGCCTGTGGGGTTTCTTCAGTGATTGGCATCTTTTCAGGCTCACCGTACGTCGCACATGTACTAGAATATATCAAAGTTGGAACACCGTGAGCAGCCATCGACTTCAAGACCGTCAAGGTGTTTGAAGTAATGTTGTGATAGTATCTGCGAATCATATGGCCAAACATAGGATCGAGAACATCATAGTTTAGACACCATGGAAGGAGTTAATTCAAATAATAAAGCGTAAAGGAGACTTACCTGAGAGGATCCATCGTGCTCTCCCCGACATATGCAACCGCCGCGAAGTGCATAACAGCATCGAAGGCATTTTCCGAAAATATTTTATTTACAGCGTTTGCATCCCCTAGATCGGCATAAATGAACTGAAGCCTGCCATGTTCGGGAAATAACTCTTGTAGAACCTTGACAGCACCCATGTTTCCACGTGAAAGATTGTCCTGCAAAAGAAACCACTCCTTGAAACCGAGACTAACCACATCAGAGAGGAGATTGTTACATACTCTCCTAAACCAAAAACATACCACGATTGTTACTCGGTAATTCTCCTTGAGAAGTCGTAAAGCAGCATGCGAACCGATATATCCCGCACCGCCGGTTACAAGAACATGAGTTGCCCCTTCTTCGTGTCGGGAGAACTGGAAAATCAAAACCAGGGAGTCAAGAACAGAGATATCAGATAGCTTCAAAACGAAACTGTTACAATTTTCATCAAGCGAAGATGATATTAACCAAAATCAAGAAACAATTCGATTAATCGAAATCTTAAGGATATGCACAGGGACATGCTATAATTTGCTGATAGATACCCCACAAAAATACATAACCACACAAAAGAAGTATCTTTGACTAGTGGAATGGAAGAAAAACTTGTTTCAACTCTTCAGCTGACATCAATTTCGGACACGATCCCCAACAACACTTACCCGCCTTCCCCTCATCAAAGAGAAGGATCTTTAACTGGTGGGAAAACGGATAAGTAATAGCATGTAACTAACAATTTTTGCCATGTTTGGTCCAATTATCAAACAAATCAAGATATCTGCAATATATTTGTACTCAATATAGCGAGAAGAAATAGTCGAAAATCGAATCGATTATCCAGTGTAAGAAAAATTAAGAGATGGAATGGAGAAGAATACATGAGTGGGAGTACTGAAGGATGGAGATTGCTTGAGCATGATAATGCATAAGGCTGTAAGTGCAGCAACTATAAGGATTTTTCCAACAACATTGCTCTTCTTTTTAGGATCAGGTTCCATGACTACATGCAAGAAACAAAATCCAACAAAAAATAAAATTAGGAATTTTTTTAATAGGAGGGGTTATAATATTAGCATTGCATTCGAACACAAGCAATGGCATTAGAAATTCGGGTTTTTTAGCACTCAGAAACAGGTTGTTACTAAAAAGGGAAATGTTACCAGCAAACGGCATCGATCGAGTTGACCTTGTCTGGCTTCTTCCTCTTGATGAATTTAGCATTTGCGAACAAGAAGCTTCAGATGAAATTATGGTACGCAGGGCAAGAAACAACAGTTTGTATCGATTTCAATGATCAAATCAGAGACCCTTCCTTGGAAATGCTTTTCTGGAAAATGTGCTGCAACAGACACACATATGGAAACACAAGAGAAAAGCCAATATCAGGTTCATTATAAGAGAAAAGGTGAAAAAAACAGAAAAAATAATAATAACAATTGGTTTTTACAAAAGATATACAAAAAGGCCAGAAATTCTAGATCCATCAAAACCAAAAGGCTAAGAAATGATCATAAACAAATCTTAAAGAACTCGAAACACCAAGAAAACTTAAAACACACCAATCAAAATGATCATTCAGCATGGGAATTCAAAGAAAAACCAAGCTTTAACGGCAGAGACAAAAGAAAATGGAAAATTTAAAGAGAAAAGAGAGGGGGGCGTTACCTGAAAATGAGAACAAAAGAACACACGACAAAAACAAAAGTGAAGTCGAAAAGGGTTCAACTTGGAATCAACAAAAGAGCCATGTAAATACCACTTTATAAACGTATTCGAAACAAGAAATGTTTTTGAATTGAAAAAAGGAAAAAGGAAAGTCACCCACGAAGCTCGGGAAAAAAGGAGAAAGAAAAGCAAAGGAGTCAGAGGAGAGAGAGATGAAACAGTGGAAATGAATGATGAGAAGAATATGTTTAAATATTAAAAGCACAGAGGCTTGACAATGGAAGAGAGAGGAAGAGCTGATAAAGGCGTTGCTTTCTCCGTGCCAATGGCGTCTTCAATTGTCAACATTTGCCGTTTTTCCTCTCAATAAATTGAAAAGCTTTTGTATTGGCAAAATTAAATTTGATTTTTTTAACAATAAGAAGAACCAGTAAAATAGAGGCATTTGTGTTGTGGAAAATTGAAAATAAGAGCGCGAAACGCGCGCAAGTGCATGATCTCAGTATCTTAGATTCACATATTACATGCCAACATGTCACCCTCCTAAATGATATGGGCCCATCTGTTCTTCGTTTTCCCTTTCTCAAAAAAAATATTATATAAATACATATACTTAAAATTATCTAAAATACGTGTATAAACTTTAATTTGTATATGTTTATTTATTTTAGAGAAAATAACCTCAGTGACCGAAAATATCTTATAATATACGATTTTGACCAACTTTTTTTTGATTTGTCAAAATGACCAACAAAATCGCAATGCGATCTCTAAATCACAACGCGATCTCCAGTATCGCAAATCAGTTTCCATATTCGCAACGCGATTTTGACTATCGCAACGCGAATATGTAAATCGCAATGCGATTCTGACTATCGCAACACGATTCTGACTATCGCAACACTGAATTTCAAATTCGCAACAGGTTTTAGTTTCGCAACACAAATGTTTTGGGTATATAATTACGCAGCAGCAACAACTCATAACCTAAATCCCTAAATCGCAACTCATTCCATCTCCATCTATCACTCTCTCTGGCGACATCCGTTCCTATATCCAACGACATCCTATATCTAACGACATCCTATATCTAACGACATCCTTCCCCATCCAGCAACAGGTTTTAGTTTCGCAGCTCGTTTATTTAGTAAATTAATTTACAATAATGAAATCATCTAATGTTCATCATGTTTCGATAGATTTGTGTTTTGGAGGGTCATGAGAGAATGTTCATGGTGTTTTACAATATATGCCTTTACCATGAATCTTCAACTAAAACTGTCATTAAAAAAGTTAACTTATGAAACTCTAATGTTACGTGTTGCAAATAAATTGAATTTAGAGCCCTTAAGTGAATTTAGGCTATCTTATCAGAGAAAAGGTAAAGTTTATTTGTTAACCGACAATTAATATGTTGAACGATTCATTGCTTACATTAGTGTTTCGCAAGATGATGTTACATTGTATGTTGTTGAACCTAGAAGTAGTGAAGTTGGGTCAGTAGCGGGTAGTAATCAACTAAGTTTTTCAACCCCAGTTTATGGTGCTCAAAATTTAATGGTTCCACCACAATTTCATCACCAAGCAAATTTTGTTTCACCACATTTCCAATACCAAACACAATCTCAAAACCCACAACCTTTCCCTAATCCAAACCCCAATCAACTTTCAGCACCAAATTCTGGTTTTCGTATTGACCAGTTAGACGATGATGAGCCAACAGAAAAAATTGTGAGTACTAGTCAGTATTCGAAATTTGATCTTGGTCAATACCTGGACTTTGATCTTGGTCAATACTCAGATTTTGATGATGTTTCAGAAGAAGAAACAGACCATGCGTGTAATGATTTTGATATTGGTTAATACCTGAATTTTGATGATGAAACAGCTGCTGCCGAGGAAGATGTTGTTGATGATAATGAGGAGGAAGTTACGATTGTGAATGAACATGTTGAACATCCATTATGTACTTCATATAACCCTGAAGAATAAAAAGAAGAAGAAGAAATCCCTGAAGAAAAGTCCCCGAAGAAAATGCCACGGGAGTATAACTGGAATATGCCAGAATTACTTCAGATACCGGAAGAAGAGTTGGTAAAGATAGCAGTTGATTGTTACACAAAAATTATTCGTATCAAGAAATATGATTGTTTTGATACAAAGAAAGACTTGAAGATAGCTTTGTATACGAAATGTGTGGAAGATGGCTATCAACTAAAAGTTAACAAATCAAGCAAAGATCGTTTCGAAACAAGGTGTATGATTGACAAAAACTGTACGTGCCGTATGATTGCAAAGAGGATAAAAGATTGCGAAATGTTTCAAGTTAGGACTTTTATTGATAAATATACATGTTCAAGAACCCAAGTTTTTCCTCACCATAGACAGGCAAACAAAAACGTGTTGGGTGGTTTTCTGGCTGAGTTAATGTTTTTGAATGGCAGGGTATATCGGGGACATGAAATTATGACTGACATGAATGCTCGGTTCAAGATTAGTATCTCATATTCTCAAGCTTGGAGAGCCAAATGTTATGCCTTGGAATTGTTGAGGGGGTTTCCAGAAGCATCGTTTGCCCAACTGTTGGCTTATTGTCACAATTTAAAGCTGAAAAATCCTGGGTCGGTAACTCATATCAAAACAGATAGAGATGGACGCTTTGAGTTGCTGTTTATCTCCATTGGTGCTGCGGTTAGTAAATCAATATAATTTTATTGACTCATTTTTGTTAGTTACATGCATTTCACATTTAAATGATTATATTTCTTGTGTATATTATTTTGTAGATTCATTTGTTTATTACTTGCATGCGCCCAGTTATTATAGTTGACGGAGCACATTTGAAAGGTTCGACCTTGGAGTAAACTTATTAGCAGTAGTCATGGATGCTAACAATGGGATATTGCCAATAGCTTACGGGGTTGGCAAATCTGAAACCTCTGATTCATGGATATGGTTTATGGGGCATCTTAGGGATTGCATAGGTCCTATTAGCAATCTGACAATCATATTCGATAGGGCAAACTCAATTGACAACGCTGTTAGAAGGTGTTTCCTAGATGCTTTTCTTGGACTTTGTGGTGTTCATTTGTATAGAAATCTAAAATCAAGGTCTGTTGGTATAAAAAATCACAAATGGACATACTGGAAGACTGTAAAAGCTTATCGGGAAGTGGATTTTAATAAGCATATAAATTGTTTAAGACGTGTTTTGCCTCAGTGTGCTCAAACACTAGAAGATGTCGGGTTTGAAAGATGGTCAAGAGTACATCAACTTGGAGCAAGATATGGTTTCATGATGTCTAATAGTGCATAATCAATCAACGTTCTAAGTCGTCATTCCCGGAAATTACCCAATACTATGTTAATGGAGTTTTTTCGAGCCTCTATTCAACAGTGGTACTACAAGAAAAGAAACCATGCAGGTATAATTTCTTTAAATTCATAACTTATCATATATTTTACTAAGTATTATTTATTTAAATTTACAGGAACATTGGAACATCGTGTTACACCATGGACTGAAAAAAAGATAACGAAACGTGTTCTGAAGTCAACATCATGGAGAGTTGAACCATGTTCAAACACTTTGTTTGAAGTACTGGATAATAACTTAAATGGGCTTGTCGATCTAAATGCAAAGACGTGTAGTTGTATGAAATGGCAAACATCTGGTTATCCGTGTGGCCATGTTATAAAAGTTGCTCTTCATCTAAAACAGATGATTCAAGCGCATACGCTATGGATTGCTACACTACAGAAGTATATCGACAGACTTATGCTGAGATTATCTACCCTATTCCACATTCTTCTGAGTGGGACATACCAGATGACTTACAAACAGTTTTGCCACCAGCCATGGACAGAAGGCTACCTGGCCGACCAAAAAGTCACGATCATATACCGTCTAAGGGTGAAGAGAAGAAGAGATCGACATGTAGTCGGTGCAAGAAAAGTGGTCATACAAGGTTGACATATGGATCACCAGTGCCATCACAATCATCTTTTCCTCTACCAAAATATGGATCCTCATCAAAATCCAAAGCTCATATGATGTCAAGCAAAAGGCAATCAAATTCACAATCAAAATCAAAATCCCAATCACAACCGGCTTCACCTTTTGAGACTATTAACTTAGGTGATTATTAAATGCAAACGTTGTATTATGTGTATTTTATGTGTAAACTTTTAATATTTTTAGCTAGGCATGTATTAGTAACTTGAGTTTGAATATTGCTATGATCTGTTCAGTTGTTATCACTTATTACACATTCATTTGAATATCGCAACGCGAATTTGACTATCACAAAGCGAATTTGACTATCGCAACGCGAATTTGACTGTCGCAACGTGAATTTGATTATCGCAACTGGAATTTGACTATCGCAACGAGAAAATCGCAAAGCGTATTAGACTATCGCAACGCGAATTGACTTTCGCATTGCGATTTTGGCTTTCGCATTGCGATTTTGAGTTTAGCGTTGCGAAAGTGTACCTTCAACAGGTCTTTTGCCTTCAATATGATGCAGATTGAAATCAACAAATCAACTTTTACATTTCAATCAATTAAACAAGCACAAATAAGAATTATTTACACATCAATTAAACAAATCAATTTTTATAAATCAACTTTTACAAATCAATTAAACAAGCAAAAAATAATAATAATTCTTA